GGTCAGTCCATAAGGATTTATTGATTACTCAGTGAGGGTAGTATTAGTATTCCTATTTCCATAGATGAGGAAATTGACATTGAGAGATTCCTAAGTGGCTTGCTTATGATCATATACCCATTCAGTGTTTAAGGTGAGAGAGAGAGAGAGAGAGAGAGAGGGAGGGAGAGAGGGAGATATGAATTCGTTTCCTCTCTGAATCTAGCATAATAATAGTAATAACAATAATAATACATAATCCTGGTATATGCTGTCTAACCTCTATGTTAATTATTTCCTATTTGTCCTGTATATCGCTTGTTTTGTTCTCCCCCATCGACTTGTAAGCTTCTGGAAGGCAGAGAGTGTCTTTTGCCTTTTTGTATCCCTAGCACTTACCATAAAGCCTGGCACAGAGTAGGGGCTTAAAAAGTGTTTCTTGATTGATTTTAACAAGGGAAAAATACTCTGAACACCCAAAGAGAATTTCAAAGGCAGTAACCTGCATGCATATCTTTTACTTATTTTCTATTCCTAAATGTATGTAATTGTATTTCTAACTTGATGTGAATTTTGCTTTTGTTAGTGGCTTGGACTTTTGTTTAGGTTATGGAAGATTTGAGGTGGGATATAGTTCCTGAACTTTGGAAGATCATGGAGAATGGGAGAGGTACTATGGGACTAGAGAAGGAAAAATGTTCTTTTTCTGAAAAGGAAAATGAGGAAGAGAAGGGAACAAGCATTCATTGATTACCTACAATATGTCTGATACTGTGCTAAGCACTTAACAAATATTACCTCATTTGATCCTCACAACAGCACTTTGAGGTACTATTATTATTATTATTCCCATTTTACAAAAACTGAGGCAGACAGAAGTTAAGTGAATTGTGCAGTGTGTAAGGCTGGATTTGAACTCAAATCTTTATGACTCTAGGCCTAGTTTTTTTTTTTTGGGGGGGTGAGGTAATTGGGATTAAGTGACTTGCCCAGGGTCACACAGCTACTAAGTGTCAAGTGTCTGAGGTCAAATTTGAGCTAAGGTCCTCCTGACTTAAGGGCTGGTGCCCTATCCACTGCATCACCTAGCTGCGTCTCAGGACTTGCTTTTTGTCCACTGTACCACCCAGGTGTGATAAAGAATCTAAAGTTCGCAAATGGTAGCCTTGACTTTGATCCTTGACAGAATTCTAGGTGATATTTATATCCTCAGCAATTAGCATAGTGTTATTTGGCATATAACAAGCACTTAATAAATACTTGTTGATTGATTTCTTGAGAGGAGGGAGATATATTTCTTTGTTAAATCTTTTGCTATCAGTATTGGATACTGCTTTGGTTGGAATTCTTGTGTCCTTCAGATACAAGTTTTTTTTTTAATATATATACTTCTATGGTCATTATGTTAACTATATAATATTAAAGAGAAAATTAGTGAACATCTGGAAAGGAAATTGGTAATGAAGAGCCAACATAGAGCTTCATCAAGAGCAGACCAATTTTATTTCCTTTTTGACCAAGTTGCTAAACTGGTGGACCAGGGAAAGGCTGCATGTATATATTTTACCTATATTTTAGGAAGACATTTCCCAGAGGCTTTCATGTTGTTTTAGTGAAGAAGATTGAGAGATATGGGCTAAGGCAGTAATATAATTAGTTGGGCTCAGAAGTTGAGTGGTAAGATCCAAAGAGAGTTCAGTGATTTGATATCATCTTGCAAGAAGGCCTCTAGTTGAGTGCTCCTGGGATCTCTACTTGGACCTATTTAACATTTTTATCAGGGACTTGAATAAAAGCAGAAATGAAACGCACATCAGATTTGCTGATGACCCAAAGTTGGGAGGGGTAGCTAACATCAGTGACACTCAGGATCCAAAAAAGATCTTGACAGATTAGAAAATTGGGCTGAATCTAAGAAGATGAAACTGAAAGCCATAAACATGAGATTTTATACTTAGTTTTGAGAAATAGTACATGTGCTAAATGGAAGACACATGGTTAAGACAAACACAAGTTTCCAAAAGATGTAAGATTGTTATTGGACTATAAGCTCAATATTTATAGAAGCAATGTGGATTAAATACTAGATTTGGAATTAGGAATCAATCAGTGAGCATTTATTAAGCACTGACTATGTGTACAAATTTTTTTAAATTTAAATTTTATTTTCTTCAATGAACAAAAGTCAATTGTCTGTCCTACTTGGAAAAAAAGAAAAGAAACATCTGTATTCGACCTGCCACCCCCTTCCACTTTTTTTAAACAAAAACTTTGTCAAGCAAAACAAATTCTTATATTGGCCATATCCAGAAATACAATAATTTATTCTTATATAGTCTTAATCTTATTCTGTACCCCCAATTCCTTTGCCTCTCTTTTAGGTGGTGGATAACATGCTATATTATCCATCCTTTGGAATTATTGTTTGTCATTGCATTCATTAATCAGTTATTAAACATAAATAGTTATGTTTCCAAGTTTGTTTTTGTAGGGATCTTGTTATATAAATTCTTCTTGTTCTTTTTGCCTTATTTTATATCAGTTCATATAAGTCTTTCCAGATTTCTCTGAAACCATCCCTTTCTTTCATTTCTTATGGCACAATAGGATTCTTCTACGTTGATGTACCATAAGTTATTCAGCTGTTTCCCAAGTTGGTGAACTCCTTAGTTTCTGTCTTCTTGCAACCACAAATAAAGCTTCTGTAAATATTTTTGTACATAGGTACTTTTCCTCATCTTTTTGGGGTATAGGCTTAGTAGTAGTACCACTGGGTCAAAGAGTGCACACATGTTTAATTAGTTTTGGTGCATTTTTCAGGCAGTTTGGGTTCAGTGCTTGCCCAGGGTCACACAGCTGATAACTGTCTGAGATAGGATTTGAACTCAGGTCCTCCTGACTTCAGGACTGGTGTGCCACCTAGTTGCCCCATAGTTCCAAATTATTAAGTGCCAACTATGTATCGGGCACTGTACCCAGGTACTGTGGATAAAGAGCAGAAATAAGTCAGTTTTTTGTCCTCAGGAAACTGACATTCTTTTGAGACAATATATGTTCATATAAGTATATACAAAATATGTGTAGGAAGGAAAATGGGAAGATTTGTGTTTGAATGCTACTTCTGACACTTCTATTTGTGTGACCATGGGTGAGTAATTTAAACTTTCTGATCCTTAGTTTCCTTGTCTGTAAAAGGATCCAAAAACCACCTGGATTACCTGCCTCAAAGGGTTTGGAGTGAATTTCAAATGCAGTAATGTATATAAATTGCTTTGCAAACTTTGAAGCAAAGTATGAGTCTGATATGATGATAATATTTGAGTCAACTCTGATATGGCTGTCAGGAATGCCAATTTTATTTTTAGGCTGTATTTAGAGAAGCATAATATCCAAGGACAAGGAAATGATAGTTCCACTGGCCTTATAAGAGTGCATCTGGAGTTCATTTAAGTGTGCTGCATTTTAGGAAAGATATTGACAAGCTGAATGTTGTCCAGAGTAGGATAACCAATTTGGTGAATGAAGCACCTCAAAATCAAGACATGTGAGGATTAGTTGGAGGAAATGGGGATATTTATCTGAAGAAGAGAGGACTAAGGGGGAAGAACACGATGGCTATCTTCAAGTGAAAGGCCCTCACGTGGAAGAGGGATGAGACTTGATGTGCTTGGCCTCAGACTGCAGAACAAGGAGCAGTGGGTGGAAGTGGTGGACAGGAAATTTAAGCTTGATGTTAGGATAAACTTCCTTCCACTTAGAATTATTAAAAAAAGTGGGGTGGGTTCTCCAACTCCTTCAAGCCAGGAGATCTCCAGGCACAGGCTGGGTGACTACTTAGAGGTGATGTGATAGGGGCAATTCTTGCTTAGGCACAAGTTGGACTAGAAGTCCACTCAAGTCCTCATCAACTCTGTGAAATCCTGTGATGCTAAATGTAGTGAAGTGGGGAGGATGTCTGAGTAGGAAATGGAAAACGTGAGGCCTAGGCCTGACCCACCTTGGGCAAAGCCTTTCTTCTCTGTTGGACTAAGTGTCTCCTACGGCCCCTTCCCATGCTAATATTTTATGATTCTGAAGGGAGAGTGATATGGTAGGACAGTTGGTATTTGAGAGGGTATAGATAGGGCCAAATCTCCAGCATGTACATGCTTTTGTCTAAACACGTCACCGGGGCTTGTGACTTCAGAACATATTTGTGTGGGATTTGTTGTTAGATAGAATCTGTTGTCCATCTAGCTGCTGATTGCTATGAATAGTTTGATAATAAAGAAACCTTTTGATATCTCTGGTCCTAAGCATCAGGGAGTGTAGGTGAGATACATCTACAGATAATCCCTGCGCTTGATTCTTGATGAATTTGCTTTCTTCTCTCCCCTTCTCCCTTACCTCCATATCTCCAGGCTTTTCCTCAGAGTTACTAAAAAAGAGCTGATGGCTTACTTTGTACTTTGACTTCTTAACTGTGTCACTTGGTTTCTTCTCTGGTTCCTGTTGAACAGAGAAATCAACGAAAGTTCAGACAGAATTGGGACTGGCAAAGGGCACAGACAAGTTAGAAACTATATTGTTTATCTGTAGACAAGCAAGAATAAACTGGAGTTTAAAGCCCAATTGCCGGCAGTGGCCTTTTTCAGGGTGACTGGCATCTTGTAAGGAGTAGTCCCTTAAGTAATCACTCAAAACTCAATGGTACTTTGCTGGGTTGTATTAATAGGTCATGTTTAATTGGTTGTGGGGGGGAGAGGAAGAAAGAGATTTTGTTTTGAGGTGCATGAGAGTTTACTGTAACATGATATTGGGTTTGAATACCAGAACTGCCTTGGCCTTTGGTGTAAACAGAATATTCTTTCTTGAAAGGACTTCTTGCTGTTTCTTAGATTAGAAAGAGAAGCCCACAGAGGTCAGCTTGGAACCTCCCCCAGATTATTTAATAGGGGAGGCAGGTGGCATATTTTTTCTCAACACAGCATCTTCAAATTGTTTATATGCTCTTATCTAATTCCCCCTCTCCCTTTTTTTAGGCACTGGAGAAAGTGGAAAGAGTACATTTATTAAACAAATGAGGATAATCCATGGTTCGGGCTACTCTGAAGAAGACAAGAGAGGTTTCACCAAGTTGGTCTACCAGAACATCTTCACTGCCATGCAGTCCATGATCAGGGCTATGGAGACCCTGAAGATTCTTTATAAGTACGAGCAGAACAAGGTGAGCAGAGACCAGGCAGTCCTCTCCTTCAGTAACTCCACTGTGGAGTTATCTCTTTATACTTATGTTTGGGGGAGTGGAATTGTGAAGAGAATGTTTTGAGATTCTTCAGTGTCCTGGTTTCCTGGTAGTTAGCTCTTCTGGGTGATTTGGTTTCCTCCCTGTGAGAATGAATAACCACTTTTAAATATGGGTTACAGAGTTGGGCAACCTTGTCAGTGCTTGTAGTCACACATGCCACTTGCAAGCTGAAAGTCCCAGTGTGAGCTCAGGCCCGTGAAGCAGACATAATGGCATAAGCAGGGCTAGAGGAATGGCATTTCTGTTGTTAGGCAGACCTCTAGGCCTGGAAATGTAGACAGAAGGCTGAGGGTTGGAGGCCAAGTGCTCGTGGGATGCTGGAAGACCTGCTGACAATCACAGCTGGCCCATGACCTGCCTCTTTTGGCTGTTGCTTATTGGATTCATTTATGGGGGGCAGGAGATGTTAGGAAGCTCCAAAGCTGCCTACGTTTTAGGAAGTGAACTGTTTAGCGGACTCTGAATGAAGCCAGCTTACAGTGGTGATGTCTGGCTCTGTTGTCGCTTTCTCTTCCAACATGACGAGCTGTTGGATCTGCGGAGTTCTCTGAGGTAGAAGCAGGATGCCTTTGGTGTCTCACTGGAACCCGAAGCTCTTCTCAGAGAGATGCAGGAGGCTGCCTGCAGGCTCATGGCCATGCCCACCTGCGCAGCTCTGTGTGAAGGTGCGCTCTTGCTGCTTTTATTGATCTGCTTTCAAGGGCTCATAACTCAGCTGCAGAGATCTGCTCTGGGCTGAAGCTTGGCACAGGAGGAACGGCTGTTTTGTACAAACGTGGTTTAAATTAATCTAATTCACTTGAAGATTTGAGGATGCCAATAAGCTAGATTTCGGATACGTCCTAACTCTTGGTCCTTCCCCCTCCATTGCAGACCAAAATTGTAATCCTAAACAAAAGCATTGACTTCCCCCTCCTTCTCTGCAGCTGTGTTCAGGAATTGGACTAGCGGTTTTAAGCAGAACACAGAACTCTTCTTAAATTCAGTTCAGCTTTGTACTAGGGGAACAGACGTCGTCATTGTTCTTGTTACCTCACCGGCATCCAGCTTAGTCTTGGCGGAGTGAATTTGCCGTCTCAAGCTTCTGTTCATTTCGCCAGGTTTACCTAGGAACACTCCATACTTTCTGGAGATTTGTTTATCCAGTCTGGACTATTGAGGAAGGAGGATGGTATGTCGTAGGTTGACATTTGTGTAGCTACAGATGGGTCAGATGGGGTCACGAAGAAGAAGAGAATCTCAAAGCACAGTAAAGGGCGCAAGTTTAGGCTGGTCTTTGAGCAAGTTCCAAAGAGATCGTGTTGGGTTCCTGAGCTCGTTTGAGACTCATCATTATTAACAATGTCCTGAGGCTGTTTGGTATCTTGGCTCATAGCACACATGCTTTGTGCTTTCAGCCCTGCTCTGGCTTGGCATTGTCAATTTGATTAAAACCCCAATGAGCCAACAGTGTCAAAAAGCTAATTCCATTTTAGGCTGCATTAAAAGTAATCTGAAGTCCAGAAGGAAGGTAAGTGACAGTTCTGGGCAACACATGTTAGGGAGGGATTTGACCAAATTGTGGTATATCTGAAGGATGGTGGCCAGATTGGGGTGGGGGGTGGGTAGATGTGTTCTGAAAATCGCATTAGCCATAAGAAATGGTCAAAGGAGCTGGGAATCCTTAACGTGAAAAAGATAAGATGGTAATGTGGAAACTGGGTTTGGAATTATAGAACATAAATTGAAAGGTATTTCAGCAACCATCTAGTCCGATGTTTTATGTATTTGATCTATTTATAAGTTAGGTACCTGTGCTACTGTAACAATAATCATGCACATTCTAAAACTTAAAAATAGAAATTTTAAAAGGATGAGACAAAGATGAAACAACATTTAATATTAGAGACAATAGAGAGTCACAGGATTTTTGAGAAAAGCAGCTAGTTGGGACAGCTGAGCTTGCAGTTAGGAAGAACTGAGTTCAAATGTGGCCTCAGGCACTTACTAGCTGTGTGACCCTGGGCCTACCTCTATTTCTTCATTTATAAAATAGAGATGCTAATAATAGCAACTTCCTCCCAGAGCTGTTGTGAGGATCTAGTGAGATAATAATTGTAAAGCTCTGAGCACAGTGCCTGGCATATAGTAAGTACTATATAAATATTATTTGTTGTTCTTATGTTGGACTTGGAATCAGGAAGACCTGACTGTGAATCTAGCGTTAAACACTTACTGTCTGTGTGACTGTAGGCAAGTCACTTAACTTCTCTCAGCCTCAGTTTCCTCATGTATAAATTGAGAATAATAATATAATGTGTCCCTCATAGGGTTGTTGTGAGGAGCAATTGAGATAACATATGTGAAGTGCTTTGCAAACCTTAAAGTGCTCGTATAAATGCTAGCTGGAATCAGTATCCATCATCACCCTGTGAATAGGGGATGACTTGGTCAGACTTAGACTTCAGGAAAATCACTTTGGGACCTATGTGGAGTGTAGATTGGAAAGAGAAGAGACCTGGGTCATGGAAGCCAGTTAGGAAGCTAGGTGACAGGTGAGGAGGTCCTGAATTGGGGTGGTGGCTGTGACAAGGAGACAGTTATGAAAGACATGGAGATAGAACTGACATTGGTGACTGATTGGATGTGGATTTAGGGTGAAGGTAGTTTGCTGGAACCAGCTCCAGCCAGCTCTAGATTGTTAAATTTCTGTTGCAAGCATTTATATACCAGAATGAGCAAACACTACAAACCAAGGCTTGATTTATTATTTTGTTGATTGTCTAGACTTCAAAAATATAGAAAAAATATTAATAATTAATATTAAAATTAAAAACCAGAACTGATTGTTAAATATTTACCAGCACTCTCCTGAGAGAGAGTGAAGAGTGAAAAATGAGGTTGTGAAAGACCTGGGTAACTAGGAATATGGTGGTACTCTCAACAATGATAGGAAAGTCTGTAAGATGGGTTGGTCTGGAGGGAAAGATAATGTATATCTGTGATCCAAACCACAATACATCCATGCCTGATAATGCTATGTGACTCATTCTTCCTCACCTAAAATGAAGGAGAGGGAGGTGAAGCTCTTTATCTAGCCTTCTTTTTCTTCCTCTATCCAGGAGCCTTCCCACAAGGTGACCTGGAGTCAGAAAGTCTAGGTAGAATTTTTTCAATGGCACCTGTATAGTTGTAGGGAGTGGTTAGTTTAGGTTGTATCTGTCCTGGAGGGACAGATACCTAGCTCAGAAGGAGAGAATTTGGGAGCTTGTGCTGCAAAGAGCAGGAGAGGGAGTTGGGGAATATTGAGGGATGTTAGATGTGGTTTGCGTGAGAGACAAATCCCGTGATTGGCTGTTTTGTTCAGAGTGGCCTCCAGTTTGTCTTCCTGTTTTCTGATAGGTTCATCATACACCTCCTTGGAGTGATGCTGTGGCCCTCCAGGGAATTCCACCCTCCACTATGGAAATGTTGATCTAGTCTACATCTTTCTATATTGTCTATAAGAATAGCATGAGATACTTTATCAAATGCTTTGCTACTAATTAAGTATCCCTGTTAAAAATGGAAATTTGGTTTGATATCATTTGTTCCCCCTCCCCAACATTCCAATTTATTATTTTTTTTTAGCATTTTTTCCTTTTTAAATTTTGAATTCCAAAATTTTCTCCCTCCTTCTGACACGCTTCCACACCCACTGAGAGAAGGCAAGCAATGCGATATCAATTATACATATCAAATATTGCAAAACATATTTCTATATTAGCTATATTTTTTTAAAAAGCAAGAAAAATAAAGAAAGAGAAAATTATACTTCTATTTGCACTCAGTCCATCAGTTCTCTTTGGAGGTGGATGGCATTTTTTCATTTCAAGTCCTTTGGAATTGTCTTAGATCATTGTATTGATAAGAGTAGCCAAATCTTTTTTTTTAAGTATGTTTATTTAATATTTTATTTTTTCCCAATTACATATAAAAACAATTTTTAACATTCATTTTTTAGAATTTTGATTTCCAGATTCTCTCTCTCCCTCCCCCTCATTGAGAAGGCAAGCAATTTGATATAAATTATACATGTAAGGTCATACAAAACATATTTCCTTATTAGTCATGTTGTGAAAGAAAACACAGACCAAAAAAGGACAAAACCCTGAAGAAAATAAAGTGAAAAAAAAAGTATGCTTCAATCTGCATTCAGACTCCATCAGTTCTTTCTCTGGAGGTGAATAGCATTTTTTCATCATGAGACCTTCTGAATTGCCTTGGATCATTGTATTCTTGAGAACAGCAAAATTATTCACAGTTGATATTGCACAGTATTGCTGTTAGAGTATACGTTCTCCTGGTTCTGCTCATTCTACTTTGCATCAGTTCATACGAGTCTTTCCAGGTTTTTCTGAGAGCATCCTGCTCATCCTTTCTTATAGTACAGTATTATTTGATCAGATACACTGCAACTTGTTCAGCCATTCCCTAATTAATGGGTGTCCCTTCAATTTCCAATTCTTTGCCACTGCAAAAAGATTTGCTCTAAAGATTTTTGTGCATATAAGTCCTTTTCATTTTTGTTTTTTTATCTCTTTGGAATATAGACCTAATAGTGGTATTGTTGGGTAAAAGTGTATGCACAGTTTTATAGCCCTTTGGGCATAGTTACAAATTGCTCTCCAGAATGGCTGAATCAGTTCACAACTCCATCAACAGTGCTTTAGTGTCTCAATTTTCCCTAATCCTCTCCAACATTTGTCATTTTCCCTTTCTCTCATATCAGCCAATCTGGCATGTGTGAGGTGGTACTTCAGAGTTGTTTTAATTTTTATTTCTCTAATAAGTAGTGATTTAGAGCCTATTTTCATGTGATTATAGACATCTTTGATTACTTCTTCTGAAAACTGCCTGTTCATATCCTTTGACCATTTATCAATTAGGAAAATTTTTTT